ATTTTGGCTTTGCTTATGGTAAGGATTCTTCCCTGAGTGGCCGGTGTTACGAATTTGTGGGGTGAGGTGGCCTTGGCGGTTTTAGGCTCCCGGAGGGGGTTTGTGTGGCTCCCATTAAACTTTCTTTTGTGTCCCAGGCGCGTTTCCTGTGGTTCGTCTGGTATTTGTTGTAGTTGGAATGCCTTGGCATAGGCTTCTTCGAGGGTTCTCGGTTCTCGTATAGTTAGGGCCTTCTGGTTTTCGGGATTGAGGCCCTTTATGAATTTCTTGATTTTGATCGTCTCTGTATGTACTTGTTCGGGAGTGAGGCGAGCTAGCTTAAGGAACTGCTGGTAGTATTCTGTGATTGGGGTTGCTCCCTGTTTTAGGTGGAGGAATTCCTCGTATATGGTTGCTTTCAGGTGACTGGGGTAGAATTGTTCTCGTAGTCGCGTTTTTAGGGCTTCCCAGTTGAACCCGGGGCTTTGTTCGCAATTGGGTTTCTCGTGGACCCACCAGGTGTCGGCCCCGTGCCTGAAGTAGAAGGAGGCCGCCTCTACTTGGTGGTTTTCTGGGCATCCCGTTGCCCTGAATATTTTGTCAAAGGTTCTGATCCATTCTTCGAGGATCGTGGGATTTTCGTCCCCTGAGAAGGTGGGCGGTTGGTGTTCCGAGACTTGGCGGTGGATTTCCAAGTTTCTGTTTGGTGGTAATGGCTGGGAGACTGCATTGTTTAGTGCCTGGGCAATTTGGGCCAGACGTTGTAGATTTTGAGTCAAGAATTCCTGTGTGGGAAGTTTCGGCGCCTTTGCCTGTTTCCTCTTTGATGTCATCCTGGGGTTCATAGGTTGATATTATTTTGCATCCTGACCTTGATGCTATGGGTGTAAAGGAAGTTTTATTTAAATTACGTGTGAGTTGGGGTGAAGGAAGTGTAAGGTCTAACGATCTCACCGCGCGTCCTACGATCCCTAAATCCTATCTTACTGATCTTCTAATGTTTTAAGCCTATTGTCTTAAAGTCTTGGTCTTAAGAGTCTTATCCTAGGGTCAAACTTAGGCTCTGATACCAACTGTAACACCCCAAAATTTCAAAACTTTTAAGACTTATATGATAAAGGTAAATTCTCATTAAATCCCAAAACATAACATAAGAGTACGGGGTGCTATGCCACACCTGAGCTAGAAAACTCAGGTGCACAGGCTAACTAACTAATATCTTCAATAATGTCAATACATAAGCATGGCACGCATGCCGAAAGGGAAACTATCTACTTTACGCTCCAAATCTCTAGCGCGCTCCAGTGTCTACTCATCTGTGCCTGAAAGCCAAATATATCTGTTCAGCGAGAGATGCTGGTAACCCACTCCAACGCGTCGAAATACATTATAGATAGATAGATATATATATATATATATATATATATATATATATAGATATACGAAAATCATTTCGAAGCAGGAAGATATATACTTAAGAGACACTAGTTTTAAAACCAGGAATAGACTAATCAAATAGGGACAAGCACATCAAACAATAATAAACAGTTAAGTAGAGATAACATCATAAGGAATACGCATCTAAGGTCACAGATCACTTTTCAATTCCAGAACACATCATCATCCAATCACCATTCATATCACATAATCATTGATGGCGCCACGGGACCAATCGCGTGCCCCGAACATGAGGGTTAATGCTTATAGCATTAACACGGCCCCGCAGCACCCTACCTCGGTACCGCGGTACGAGGGGATTTGATCGCAACCAACCCTTTGAGAACCGCTGACAAACTCAACGTCGGACCACGATCCGACACACCGCTGACGCGCCCAGTCGGTGGACCGCGATCCCCTTTACAAGGGGGGACTCACGACCCTACACACCGTTGATTCGCACAATCGGTGGACCGTAGCGGATCAAGCCTGACACACCGCTGAGCTAAACTCAGTCGGTGGGCGAAGATCCTCGGAAACTACGGCCCTACATACCGATGTCCCATCACTAGGTGGATCGCAGCAAGCCGTAGCCCTACACACCGCCTGATTACTCAGGTCGGTGGACTACAGCCTTCCTCGGCTTGTTGGCCCTACACACCGCCTGGCGCGTCCAGGTCGGTGGGTCATATCACCGAGGCACATGTGGAACTATAGTCCTATATATAATCTTTATATACCTGACCGGTTTCTACCAGCCTGGTTAACAGTTGGGATAGTTCTCAGCCCATTCAACTGCCCGTATAGTGGACCTCAGTCCTATATAATATTTATATACCTGACCGATCTTAACCGGCCTGGTTAACAGTTGGGATGGTTCTCAGCCCATTCAACTGCCCGTATAGCCCACTTGATCTTAACCAAGTTGGGGTCATGCATCACGTAACACATAATAGCACATAATAACACATAATAGCACATAGGGAAGGGGAGGCATATAATTAAGCTTACGTGTGATCATTCACATACTAAGAATCGTCCTAAGGGGTTCATACGACTTCCACCTAGATCAACGGGTTACCGATTCAACTAGCATGCGATTCCTAAGATTCACTTATCTTACGAACGGTACCTGAAACATCAAACTAGACTCAGGCACGACAAACGGGGTCCGTTGGGACACCACGGGGGATGGGGGACATCAAACGGGGAAGCCGGGGACCCAGGATGGGTCATGGACCAGCGGGTAGCCGGTGGGTGAGGGAGCACCTGCCGGCTGCCCGCCGGAGATCACTGCCCGGCAGCGGGTTTCCGGCGGGCGGACGCCTGCCCATCGCCTGCCCGCTGCCCGGCGGTGATCTTCGGGCAGCGGGTAGGTGGCGGGTACCCCAACCCCCCACTGACTCATTCATCACAATTTCGTTCCAGGAACCTTTGTGTAACCCGAAACCATGCTTAGACACTTTTAAACGCAATTAACGACACCACGTAGTCAATTAATGGATCAAAAGCAAGAATCACGTATAACTCATCCTATTGCGACCTCTAAACATAAACAACACCCGAACATGTGAATTCCCACCCAATATATATCAAGAACATAATAATACAAATTCCCAATCCATCCTAGGGCTCTAATCCCTCCCAAATCATCAAACTCATAATTTATCTTTAACATCAAGAACTATCAAGATTTGTCAAGAATCATTACATCAATATCAAGAACCTATTTTCATCATCAAGATCATCAAGATTATCAAGAATACACACAAATCATCTCATCAATTATCAAGAATATATCACGATAGCATAGAGGTATAAATCAAGATACAAGCATATAGAAGGAGGCCAAGGAAGGAGATTATAGCGAAGAAAATAGGTTTTGTTGAGACATGGGTTACCTCTTAGCCTTAATTAATTTCCTTGGCTATGAAGGGTCGTTCTTTAAGATTTCTCCTTTCTTGATTTCTCCTAAGGGAATTCTTGGAACTTTCTTGTGTGGTGAGAGATTATTTGTGGTGTGGATCCTAGGTGCCTCCTATGTCCCTATTTATATAATTGGCTACTTCTATTTCCTATGGGTCCATGGGCTTATGGTGGGCCTTTCCTAGTTAATGAGATTTTAATCTTTCTTTCTGGGTAATTAATTAATTGGTTTATGGGCCGTAACACGGGGTGTTACACGGAGAGCCTCCTACGCGGGTTCAGCGAAGTAGTGGATGGGTGCGGCCTAAGGCAGCTACCTATGAGAGGACATCAGTATACATGGGAGAAAGCCAGTGGTACGGATCGCTGGTTGGAGGAAAGGTTAGACAAGGTTTTGGCGACAATGGACTGGTGTGATGTGAATGGAAGGGTCGGGGTCGAAAATATTCTTATTCGTAATTCGGACCACTCGACTCTGTTTCTTGATATCAATGCAAACAACATGCAGAGGGGTAGGATCCCGAGAGGCTTCAGGTTTGAGATGGCGTGGCTGCTTGATGAGGGGTGCAGGGATGTGGTGGAGACTGTCTGGCATGATGGGAGGGCAGAGGGGTTGCTAAATTTTCTGCAACATTGTGGGGATAGACTGATGCAATGGGATGGAAACCACTTCCATAAGTTTGGAGAACGCATCCAGCAGCTACGAAAGGAGCAGTGGCGGATTCGAGATAGGAGGGATCCAGCTGCCTTGACTTAATTCCAGCATTTGAATGATCAAATCTCTCAGTTGGAGGCCCAGGAAGATGTGTTTTGGAGGCAGCGAGCGAAGCAACACTGGCATCGTGGAGCTTATGTGAACACGAAGTTCTACCATAGGTATGCCTCTGCTAGAAAGAAAAAGAATTTTGTTGCTAAATTAAAGAATTATGATGGGGTGTGGGTGGAGGGGCAGGATATGAATGTTGTTGTCTTGAATTATTTCAATATGATTTTTGCCACTAGTAATTCTGTGTGTGAGGATCTGCTTTTTGATGAATTCACCCCCCGAATGACGGATGACCAGAATGATGCACTGTTGCGTCCATATGGTATGACTGAGATCAAGGCTGCATTGTTTGCCATATTTCCTGATAAGGCACTGGGGCCCGGATGGAATGAATCCAGGCTTTTATCAGCAGTTTTGGAATGTAGTAGGGGCGGATGTGTCTTCTTTTGTTGTTAATTGTCTGAATACAGGTGAGTTTCCCGCTGGTTTAAACGACACTAATATTATTTTGATCCCAAAGAAGAATGACCCCCAGACTGTGGCGGATATGAGGCCTATTGCCTTGGGAAATGTTCTGTATAGGGTAATAGCTAAGATGATTGCTAACAGGTTGAAGCCGCTAATGGGTGACTTGATCTCAGAGTCCCAGAGTGCGTTCATTCTTGGTAGGCTTATAACGGATAACATTTTAGTGGCAGTTGAGGTGGGGCACTTTCTGAACCGTAAGCAATGTGGGTTTACAAGGTGGGGAGCTCTTAAATTGGATATGGCAAAGGCATATGACAGAATAGAATGGCCGTTCCTGAAAAGGATGATGGCATGGGTTTTGATGAACGGTGGATTAAGCTAATAATGACATGTGTCACCACGGTGTTGTATAATGTTATGGTAAATGGTGTGAGTGGTGGCCAAGTTCAACCCACAAGGGGCCTCAGGCAGGGAGATCCGCTTTCTCCGTTTTTATTTATTATTTGCGCTGAAGGTTTATCTATGCTATTGCAGAAAGCTCAGACAGCAGGATCTATTCATAGGTGCAGGGTGCCCTCCTATCTCACATCTTTTCTTTGCTAATGATAGTTTGCTTTTCTTTAAAGCAAATATCCAGGAGGCTAGTGTGGTGAAACAATGTTTAGCAAGGTACGAGGAATTGTCTGGTCAGTTGGTGAACTATCATAAGTCGAATATTTGTTTTTGTAGGAATACTGGGGAGGATATGAGAGAGGAAGTGGCAGCGTGTTTGGGTGTGGAACAGGCACGGAATTTTGGCAAATATCTGGGGCTACCTTCTTTTATAGGGAGGAATAAAAGAGTTGTTTTCTCATATGTGGAAGACAAAATCAGACAGAGAGTTACTTCGTGGAATAAGAAACTGTTATCGCAGGCTGGTAAAGAAGTGCTCTTGAAAAGTGTGGCCCATTCTATGCCAACTTTTTCAATGAGTGTTTTCTTGCTCCCTGAATCGGTCTGCTTATCTATACAGAGAACCATGAACAGGTATTGGTGGGGGAAAGGCCCCGACAGAGGAATTCATTGGAAAGTATGGGACAGGTTATGTGTCCCTAAGAAGTTTGGTGGTTTGGGTTTTAAGGATCTTCGGGCATTCAATCTCGCGATGCTGGGAAAACAGGTTTGGCGTTTTCTTACTGATCCCGGATCCCTGGCGGCAAGGGTGTATAAAGCATGGTATTACCCTAAAACTTCCTTTGTTGATGCGACAATAGGACATAATCCCAGTTTTTGCTGGCGGAGTATTATGGCAGCTCATAATCTCGTTTGTGTTGGTGTCCGAAGAAGGATTGGGAACGGCTCAACTACTCTTATTTGGGGACACCCGTGGTTACAGGATAATCCTAGTCCACTTGTTCAAACGATAATGCCTGATGCTTTACGGAATGCAGTAGTGGTAGGGCTAATAGATCAACAGACCAAAAAGTTGGATCCTCATATTTTGACTGATCTTTTCGAGCCGGGAGATGTGGATCGTATACTAAAGATACCAATCAGTCCTGATTATGATGATACATGGTATTGGCTCAATGACCCAAAGGGACTCTACACTGTTAAAGATGCCTATAGAAGACTAATGGGGGAGTTTCAACATACCACGGGGGAATTTGATAAATGGGTAGCACTATGGAAAATGAGAGTTCCACCCAAGTGGAAAACTTTTTTGTGGAGAGCTGTGTGCGATATACTCCCTACCACAACCAATTTGATTATAAAGAGAGTTGATGTGGACCCAACATGCACAATGTGTGGCCTCACACATGAGAATGTTATGCACTCATTAGTTTTATGTGATTATTCTAGAGCTGTGTGGAATGTTTCGGGGCTGCCCATTATGAATATTATTTCTCATTCTTTTGCAACTTGGCTTATGGCTGCTATGGATATGCTCACAGGCGACCAAGCCCGGCGTCTCGTAGCACTACTCTACTACTTGTGGATGGCCAGGAACGAAGCTGTGTGGGAAGGGGCGTTGAGGATGCCGGTTGTGGTCTGGCAGCGCGCTGTCTCGGCGGAAAGAAGCTACACGGCGGCCCATGCTTGGGCTGCTCAGACAACGCCGGCAGTCGTTGTACCGGTTGTGGCGGCCTATCGGCCGAAGTGTCATATCGATGCAGGCTACGATCCGGCAACCGGCCAGGCCACGTACAGGGCAGTCTTGCTCGATCACGATGGCACGTTCAGAGCTGCGGCCAACGGGAAGCTTCCGGGATGTTTTTCGCCTCTCATGGCGGAGGCGCTGGCCTGCAAAGAAGTCTTGTCCTGGCTTAAGGATCGAAACGAGGTTGAGGTGGATATTCTGACGGATTGTCTCATGTTGAAGAATGTCATTTGCTCGGTAGCTACGCCGAATTTATCTTACGTTGGGATCGTGGTAGACCAATGTAGGGTAGCTATCAACAGTTTTAATTATTGCTCGCTCAGTTTTATTACTAGAACATTTAATCTACATGCTCATACACTAGCTAGATTAGCCTATGATCAGGATCAGCCTATGTATTGGGACTTGGTCCCTCCTAACCCTATCGTTCAATTCTTGATATAATATATTTGCTACGCCATTTTTCAAAAAAAAAAATTAGTTCAATTAATTAATTTTTTTAATTAGGTTGTTCTTCAATCATGTTATTACGGAGTGGAAGTTCATTTTGATAAAAAAAAAAAAAAAAAAAAAAAAAAAATAGTGTATCAAATTAAATTTGTGGTACGAAAATATAACTGTAATTGAAAATCAATATTGTTCTATTATGCACATTCGATCATAATGAAGCTAACATATTGGATTCATAGTTTTCGTTCTTCTGAGATAGACCCTTACTTGTTGGAGTCATCTTGTGTTAGCTGTCTCATGAATTTTAAGTCGTGAGATAAGTTGAATATATGATAGTTCTTTATTACTTATGATATAAATCATAATGAATCACACTTGTATGAGACGTGTCGGGTCAATATAAAAATGTAATACTAATTAAGAATAAAATATTTGTTCTTTACAAGGGGAAGTGAAATACTTTTGAGAACAAATATAATACATTTATATTTTGATGTAAAAATATTATATTTTTCATCAAAAGTATTACATTTTTCCTTATAAGTAATGTTGACAAGTGGTTCTTACTTATAATGAAAAATGTAATACTTTTGAGAAAAAGTATAATACTTTTAAATCAAAATGCAAAAGTATTACATTTTTTCAAAAGTAGTACACTTTTTCATATAAGTAATAAACATTTTATTCCTTATTAGTATTACATTTTCCTTGATACGTAGTTCGAAGTATTACATTTGATCTTGACTCGACCCGTCTCACGGATAAAGGTCCATGAGGCAGTCTCACACAAGTTTTTGCCAATCATAATACTTATTATAGAAAATTTAATACGGAGTACCAATTTTTAAATAAATAAATGATTGTTGCTAATGATAAATATTTTAATATTTATAATTAAAATTGTGATACTTAAACATCCAGTTGTCTACGACTTAACCCGTCTCACGAATAAAGATACGTCTAACGGCTTCACATAAATTTTCGCATAGTTGTTGATGATGCAATTAGAATTATTGAACTAAATTTTTATAGTTTTTTGACTTTTTATTTATTCAATGTATATAAAAAATAATTTACCGGATAGAAGGAGAAGGTAGGATGCCATTGTTGCCCATAATTGAAGCATGTGCTCCATCTCAACTAAAAGCCTAAGCTCTGATAGTTGGATTGCACATTAATGGCTATATGCTCAACACGCCCCCTCACGTGTGCGGTGGGTTCCAAGCAACACGTAACCCCATGACCTTTGTTCTGGCTCTGATACCAAATTGAAGCATGTGTTCCATCTCAACTAAAAGCCTAAGCTGATAGTTGGATTGCACATTAATGACTATATGTTCAACACCCATCACTTAACACATGAAAACCACTGTAGCTGTCACCATTTCCACTTGTTTGGGACTGTAATTTTGCATTTCCTCATTTTTAATCAGATTAACAGGATTAACCAACTGATGAAATGGACTGACTGATTCAGCGATGAAGTCAATCAGTAAAACAAATCATAGAGATGTTTAAAGAAAGAGATAACGGCACAAAGCAAAACATAAGATGTTTACCCAGTTCGATACAGAGTGTATCTACGTCTGGGGGACGATCACATAGGCGTCCAATCCACTAAATCATAATCCAATGTACAAAGGTAAAGAAACAATAATCTCACCCAAGTGCCCCACACAAGGTACGTACCCAGTCTACACAAGTTTAGTGGATTGTTGAAGGTGGAGAGCCATGCATACAGAAGTCCAATGAAATCCCTTCACTTGGAGAGCCAACTCTGATGCAGTCCACTTCAATGACGCTCTTTACAGTTGTTCCCACAACAGTGTGATCGTAGTGTCCTTTCGTTTAAGCAGCAGTGATTCTTCTCAAGTTCTTCATCTTAATCACCATGAACATGTTGTATTGAGAAGAGGCATAGTAATCAAAGATTTGATCTCATAAAACTGATAAGGAGTGTTTCTTCTCTCTTCAAATCGTAACCATAATTCTCGTCAAATAAGAGTACTTATAGTTCCATAACCAGAACACTCTCCATAGATATCTTTGATTGTAGATGGCAGGACAATATTTGAAGAATGTAATCTTAAAGATTCGGTCCATACCTTTCCAAAGCAGATACGCTGATCTTCTTTCCAAATCTGTCTTCTGTAAAACCGCGTACAGCTTTCAAGAAACCAGCTTTCTAAAACAGATCTTCAGTGTCAGTCCCTCTGTTGCTGTATCTGATTTATCAGTCCTCTGTAGAACAAAACTGATACTAAGCTAATCCTATCTTAGTATGCCATAATAATATTGCCAATTATAAGTTGGGAGTTTTTTGAGCAATTAAAACACTAACAAACTCCCCCTTTGACTATTATTTGGCAAAATAACTCGACTATGTAGAAAGACATAAACTGAAAGAACTAAGATATGCTATCATAAAACAAACAACCCAAATATCTGATTACATAGCAGAAATAAAAACACAGCATACAAGTCATGCTGGATCAAAACAACAGTCAAAGAACATTCTTCAAATAAAAGGTGGTGCCATCACAAACAACGCCCAGCCAGGGCTAGAAGGTACACAAAAACAACTCTCAACTCCCCCTGAGTTCATACTCCCCCTTTTTGCCAATGAGAGCCAAAGCATGGTCAAGCCTTGGAGAGAGTCTCACTGTCAGACTTCGCAGGTTCAGCAGCAGCAGCCTCAGACAGGCTTAAACGAAGAAGAACGGTGGCCAATTCTGTGCGAGTCCCTATCAGCTGTTTCGCAATTATGCCATGAACCGTCTCGAGCTCAGAGACTCTAGCCTTCAACTGGATAGAAAGTTGGAGATCCCTTGCATGCGGAGAATCATCCGCCACTGTATCAGCTTCAGAGTTGGAGGGGGCAATCACCGGTGTAACATCACAGATATGATCTCCAGTCAAGAGACGTCGGTCAACAGTATAGAGAAGTGTCGGACTGATCACCTCACTAGCCATAGGCTCAAGGCCCTGTGATGTAAGGATTCCAAAAATCAAATTAGGAAAGGGCAGCCGTACCTTTTGTTCTCTAGGGTGAATCAGTGTGAGAATGTGATAGTAAATCCACGACCCTAGATCAATGGACATCTTTGTGCCAATTCTGAACAAGAGACTGGCCAACTACTTGCCAACAGTATGGAAATGAGCCGAAGGGAGCCAGTTGTGCAGCACAAGACGGTGGAGAATAACATACTTGGAGATGAGTTGAGAGCTAGGTAGAGTATCCTTATCACCAGTAGGCCATCTACCAGCTTGTCCACCAGTGATCGTCTTGGCCACTAAATCCCAATCAGTAATTGCTTCCTCTTGAACTCCTTGCAGACCATAATACTTATTAATCATGTCAGGGCCAAAAACATACCATTTCCCTCGAATGAAAATATGCATTGGACGCACCCCAGACAAATTGTCTATCTCATCATTGAGATTACAATAGAATTCATACGTGAGCAGCTTAGAATATGGGCAGATAGCGGAGACAGTCTTCAGCAAGCCGACTTCACTCAATAGTGGTAGAATGTCGCAAACTGAATTCATCTGGTTTTCATCAACAGATCTTTGGACAATCAGATCTCTCCTGGCCATGGTGGACCATTTAGCTTGATTAGTGGGAGATACAAATTGAGGCTTGTAAATGGAGGTGTCAGGACTTTCAACAGGCTGAATCTCAGGAGTAATACTCCAACCTCTAGAACGTGTAGAAGGTTTCCCTTTTCTGGTAGAGGATGTGGGAACGACAGCAGGTTGAACAGCAGCAGAGCCTTTTTGCTTAACAGATGAGCGTAGTGTTTTAAACACTTGTTGAATTGGGGGATTGGTTTCAGGTTTGACAGACTCACTGGACTTCCTTTTCTTCTCTGGTTGATCTACATCAACAGTGTCATCACCAGACTCAACCACAACTTTCACTGGAACATTCTTTCGCTTTGACCTTCTTGTCTCTTTGGATGGGGAGTGAACAGGAGACACAGAATGACTAGAATCAGACACATGAGTAGATGAACCACCAAGGAGATTAGTTACCTCTCGAATTTTGAATGTGGTGGAATCAGGATGAGCAGTGGCCTCAACAGTCGGATCCGTAGATGCATGAGCTTAGGTACCATAGACTTCAGCAAGGATCTTTTCATCTTCACTGGAGGACTCAGAAGGATGAATCACTCGATATGGTTCTGGAATGGAGGCAGCAGGTAGACCAGCAAAGTGCTGGACATGTTCGAGACTTTCACCCAATGACGTGGAGGTGTAGACTGGAACTCCATCCATTTTCTCGGACTCACGGGGGCTTGAGAGTTTAACAGTTTCAACCTCATCAGGCAAATCAGAGGGATTAACAGAGGAACAGATTTCTTATGGGACATCAGCAATAACAGTAGGGGGCAGAGCAATATTATCAGCCGAGAAAACAACCAAACTTAGATTGTTGGGCTCATCAAAAGATTTTTCTTCCTCCTCAGACACATTAAGAGCCCACTTTTCAAAGAATCAGACTTCACAGTAGGTATACAAGGGGCATCAACAGATACAGAAGATTTCACAGAAATTAAAACAGGCACATTCTCATAATCAACAGGCACAGTAGATGGGGCAGCATTAGACACTAGATCCTCAGGTTTATCAGGCGAAATTTCAATAGGGGAGTCAGAAGTGTTTGACCTGTTCCGAAGGATCTCCAGCCTGTGTCTGGTTTCATCTCGGGCAGCTTGCAGGTACAGGGGTTGCGATTCAGCTCGTCGTCGTGAGACCTCAGCAGATTCAAGGGCCCTCTGTGCAAAGTATTGGAGAAATACCCCGGCGCGATTTCTGTCTGAAGGCTCTGGGATAGATGCTGGAGAAACCTCATCACTAGCTTCAGAGACCAACAACAAAAGCTCACTGGTATCGTCTTTAGACCAGTCGGCATAGAACTCTGGATAATCTGTCATAACAGTGACCATGATCTCATCACGAAGAAGAGGGTCAAGCTTCAGTTTCTTCTT